CTTTTCATCAAATGGCGTGCTGTTGGCGGCCCTCTGAACCACTCTGGCTGCAGCTTGCTCCTGCACTACTGAGGAGACACAGTGAGAACTGAGGATTGAATGGAGTCAGATCTCCATCTAGTGGACAAATGGAGCAATGACAGCATTCTGCACAACTGTGACACTTAATTGCATTTACTGTTATGAGAAAAGAGTTACAATTAGGTGATTGTCACTTTTCCCATAGCGCATTTCTGCCACAACCCCGACGTGTGCTGCATCCGACATGCGTGGAAGTACGAGGACCCCTCCAATGCCGCTTGCAGCTTTAATTAATATTTAGTCTTGCTGCATTTGTTTTCACTCTAGGCTTGGATGAGCCTGCTCGCTCATCAGGTATTTTTTTAAGAAAAACTGATCCAGAGTTCTGAGGCAAGGAGTTGTTAGGAGAGTCAGGCCTGCTTTGTGAAATGGATGAATTTAAGCATTTATCTGAAGTCTATTTCTCAAATTTTGGTTTAAGTGGTCCCCTGTGTATCTGAAATCTTATTTTCTGAATTTACGCAGGGTTTCACCACATCTTATGCAAATCATCTGCACCCAGGTAGACATGGTAACAAACAGGGATGATCTAGATTTAATGTGCTTCTGGGTGCCACGGCATGAGCAGTGCTGTCCCCATTTAATGCCGCAGAGAGTGGAAACACTGACACACAGAGTCACAGAGTATAATCCCTGCAGTGAAGTGGTCAGCTAATTGCTTCAGCTCTAACTCTTTTATGTCTCCACCAGCTCATATTCAGTGATTAACTGCAGCACTGTACATTTTAATCCATCTGACTCAAAGAAAATACCATATATATCTGTTTTACAGCTGTGTGCTGTCCTCCCCTCATGCACACATCTCCTCCCACACTGTTACTCTGAGCCTCTTGCCAACTTACGCAGTTTTAAAGAGTGGGCTCGTATGCTAGTGAAGGTGAAGGAGCTGTGATAATCCAGTGACATTTTCAACTTGGTGGTGGTTAAAAAAACCACACACACACGATCATTTAAATCTGATCTGTGTGAACCGTCCCCCTTCGGTTAGTGTGTGGACAACCTTATTGAGTTACTGTTAGATGCGGTTCAAAGATACCAGAAAGCACGTTAATTCAGTGGAGAACTGATTCTTTTTTCTTTTTTTTTTTTTACCTCCAAGATTCAGCAAATATGGAGAGATTTGATGCTACTAGAATACCAAGATTTCTGCACTGGGATGCCTCCTAAAATGTGATTAAGGTCTGAATTTGTGTGTAAACTCCTTCCTGATCTAACTACTCGTTAGTTTCAAAATTGTGTTGTTAAAACATGAAGAATGTCTTACCTTGTAAAAATGGCAGTAATGGGAAACATCTGTAGAGAATCCACTCAGAAGCCATCAACAGGGGCGACCTGATGGGTGAATGTTTAGAGGACAAGCCATGTTTGACTACCAGCCGGCCAGACCTTTGCTGCATGTCGTCCTCCTGCTCTCTTTCTCACTTTTCCTGTCTTATCTCCTCTGAAACTGTCAAATACAAAGGTAAAATGACAAAAGAAATTGCATTAAGAGGAGCCACTGCAGCATAAATTTTAAGGCTCCAAGTGATATATTCAACTTAACTACCAATCATCTGTAGCATACCTGGAATAAAATGTTTCCAATTTCTAATATTCTATATCTAAATATAAAAACGTAACCAATCTGCTTTATACTTGCAGTTGTTGGTAGATTATAATGTGTGTTTTTGGGAAATATGTAAACTCTTGTCAGCTTACCAACTAGCTACTCAGCAGTTACATGTGGTGATGGTGGTAGGTGTAACTACTAAGGGACAATAAATCTACAGCCCAAGCAGGTGTTAAAATGGTCCAGGCGTCTGAGGTTTGGATAACCAGTGAGACTATATGTCCATACATTATAACTAAGAGTAAAATTAACAATTTCAATGTTAAGAATAGTTCAAAAATACAATTTATTGTAACTTTTAAAGACACAAACCATCTTGTGAGCTGTTATCATACATGGGTTACTGCAACATTGACTGACTTCAGACTATGCAAATTTAAAATAAAAAAAAAAGATTTTATAGTAATACATTTATTTTTGTAGCGGCTTTTTAAAAATACTGTTTGGACAAAAGTGGTTTGACAGACAAACCAAAAAAAAAAGAGGATACTCAAGTCAAATCAAGTCAAAGTTTATTTATAGAGCACATCTAAAAACGATCACAGTCTACCAAAGTGCTGTACATAATATATCATAAACACTATAGTAAAACAAAGTATACTAAGAAGTCTTTAAAAACAAAATTTAAAACAAGAGAAAGTGAAAGAGAATAAAAAAAGGGATAGAGAAAGAGAAAGCCAAGATTGCTCGCCTATCTGGGAGTGAATGCCAAGGAGAAAAGATGTGTTTTTAGGAGTGTTTTAAAATTTTCAATTGACTGTGCTGCTCTAACCTGGAGAACTCAGGAATATTACACAGAAAGCTAGTCAGCCCAAACAGAAAGGGGGGGAAAAAACAAGTAAAAAGTGGAGGTTTTTTTTTAGCACAGTGAATGTTACAAAATGTAAAATACAGAATTGTAATGTAAATAAATTAACAAAACAAATGCCAAATATTATAAACAAAATAATAAAAGCACAAAAATACAGATAGAATGGATAAAAGCAAAATAATAAATGGAATAAAAGAAATTCGAGAGTAAAAAAAGAACTCGGCTACCAGTTTTTCATTCCCTTTAAGCTGACTCTGTATGTTTTAGGTTGATTTTAAGACTTTACTGATTAAAGGCCCTTCGTGGCCTCTCTTGTAGTTACATCTTTGACTTTGACATCCTCGGGCGGGCAGACATCTTTTTTTCTGTTCAGGGACCCAACTCAAAACTGAAGGGAACAGAATGTTTGTAGTTGGTCCCTTCCTAAAACAGACTTGTATCCTAATTTTTACTTGAGTAAAAATATATAATAAGGTTTTTACCTCTTCCAAAACTATACTCTTTTCTTCACATTAAGTTGTTTTTTATCTGTGTTCTTTTAAAATCTTTCTGTTGTTTTTTCCTGCCTCGAGAACCACTGTGCAACGATTAAGGTTTTTGAAAAGCGCTTTGTAAACAGGGATTCTTATCACTGCGTGAGTTTAAAGCCTTAGCATATACCGGAACAAGGCATGGCAGTTTATACAACTCTGCAAACACTGGGAGTGACTTTCTTGTGTGGCCACAGTTGCAAGATAAACAACAGAAAAACAGTATTCATGTTAATCCACCAGAAGTGAACACCCACATGTATTTGTCTTCATTTGAATAAAGATTCAGTATCGCTCTATGGCAGGGGTGGGCAATCCTGGTCCTCGAGGGCCACAATCCACCATGTCTTAGATGTTTCTCTCTTCCAACACACCTGATTCAAATGATCAGCTCATCATCAAGCTCTGCAGAAGCCTGATAACGATCCTGATCATTTGAATCAGGTGTGTTGGAAGAGGGAAACATCTAAAACATGCAGGACTGTGGCCCTCGAGGACCAGGATTGCCCACCCCTGCTCTATGGGCATTGTGTCAAGGTACAGTGAAATTTCAGTGCACTGCCTAAACACAGGTCCAGACATTCACATTATTTTCAACATATGGTTAGAGGAGACTTAAAATAGTGAAAAACAAATCCTAATTTATTTTTTTTTTAAATATAAAGGTGTATGTCATCAGCGTAGAGTATCACAAGTAATTTGCTGCCCTGTCTACAACCTATTCACTTTGTTCTTACCAAACCATGCTGTGGTATATGATGGTGATTTACCACATTGATGCCTTTAACCTCTTCTTCAGGAGCTACAAGGCCTGGTGTTGCGGTTGCGCGAGGACTTGGTGGCGTTACGGACGTCCGCTGATCACATGGAGGAGAAGCTGAAGGCCGAGATCCTGTTTCTGAAGGAGCAGATCCAGGCAGAGCAGTGTTTGAAGGAGAACCTGGAGGACACTCTGCAGCTGGAGATCGAAGGTTGCAAGGAGGAGATAGGTGAGACTCGACTAAAACTGTCCAGAAACATCATCAACAAGTCGTTGATCAGCTGTAGGGTGAATAACTAACCCATCATTTTTAGTACAACATCAAGAAAACTCGCATACATTTTTTAAAATATTTTCTGGACATTCTTTTAAACTCTCCTCTGTTTCTACTTTTGTGTTTCCTCCATTGATCACTGTCATTCAGACATCTTGGAAGGTACGACAAACGCTTTGAACAAGCTCACTGCCTGTTTGTGTGTGTTATTAGCATCAGACTAATGAATGTAGTTAACGTACAGCTTAGCGCTTTCCCTCACCTGTTTAAATGTCTTGAACAGCTTTCAGTTATCTCACCTTGCTGTGTGTTGTCCCCCCCCACACACACACACACACACACACACACACCGGTTGTAATGTGTTTCGCTGTCAGTTTCAAGTTGATATCAGGGATCTGTCTGTGTCCTGCTGATGCATAACACTGATGCGCAGCTAACAATGGGTAACAGTGAGCTTTTTATTGAATTTAAATTCAGTTCTGAATCTGCTTATTGAATCTTAAAGCTTTCGAATCCCTTATTAAATCTTTATATATGATAGTTTGTTTAGTTGGATGCCTTCATTAATTTTTTTCAGATAAATAAATCACAGAGATCGCAATCACACAAACTAAGCCACGTTGACTCTTAAACGCTTCTTTTCCTCGTAGTTTAAGTCCTCCACTCAGACTACAAGGCTGTTTTTCTCCTTTGAAAATGAAGGTTTTCCAAATTGGTAAATTGCAAAAAAAAAAAAAATCTAGCTTGTTGTCGCATGTACAGAAAAACCCTGTAATATCACGGACAAATCAGATGGTGGCAGTAGCACCGGTTTCCTTGAACTTTTCTTGAATGCTATACAGACATTATGCTGTGTCGTCGATTTGTTATAACCAGTGCCTTGAAGATAAGTTGCCATGGAAACAGAAATGGTGTTTGCTGCTTTTAAATTGTCTCTTTTGCTTCTTTACAAGAGAGATTCTGGTCGAAAGGTTTCGATAAGGGATTCGGTGGTCACAGATCCTAATAAAACCTTGTATTATACCAACCGGCTATCAGAACCCGTTCATGTGGTGACCTTAATTTAACAGTATGTGTCTGATCTGACTCCTTTTGCACTGAAAACAGTACCGTTATAAATTTTCTGTTGTTTACTGAAAGAAGTGTCAAAAAAAGAAGGTAAATGCCAAAGAGAACTTCAGAGAGCGTAAGGCAATATATTTTAATTGCCATGTTTTGTCCTATGCCCAGACAAATTGATTTTAAAGTAAAATAAGAAACTGTATAGATGCAGGGACTGAATTGAACAGAATATTTGTGATTTCTGCTTGAATAAACAGCTGTGCCATACAGGGATTATCCAAATTAAATCATTACCAGTTCATTTTCTGTTAAATGACGGATGATTGAAAAATTAATGGACAACATGCTATTTTTTGGCTTTAAAATTTGCATTGCATTGCGGTTGATTACTCTTTCTGGGGTATTTTTGACCAATTTTTGTTTGCTTTTAAACCTAAATGAGTATTCCCACCAGGTTGATCGCTTTAGTTATTTGTTCTCTTTTCTTTTAAAGTGACCAAAGAGCCAGTGTGGTCATTAAATGATGGAGTGTTTGTCGTTGTCTTTTTTGTTCAGCTCTGACTTGAAGCTTCCGTCAGTCTATTAACTTTTAGGGTTTGTTGTGTAGCTCTCAGCAAACACACAGCAGATCAGCTTTGTTGCATTATTCACAACTTTCGAGGGGACTCCGTAATAAATCCAGGAAGAAAATCCTCTTTGAGGCTTTGAGATTCCGATGAGGACTGTGAGTCTTTAACAATGTCTTCTTCCTGCAGCGTCTTTCTCCAGCCTGAAGACGGAGCTGGAGCGAATAAAAGCAGAGAAGGAACAGGTAAATAATCAGTGAACTCATCACAATGTGAGGTAGGAAAATGCAATTGCTGTGCTTCTAAATGTGTTTAGAACTACAATATGTGTATGTAGCTGGTCCCTCGTTATATACCTTCCACTCATTTACGTGGTCAGTGAAGGTCGTGATTATTAAAGATGCACTAATCAATATTTGGATCAAATTACTGGAGTATAAAAGGGGTCATATGTAGAGGTTAAACTGCAGAAAAACAACTCATTGTTTGGATTTTATGGATCGCCACTCAGTCAGCTGTTAGTGCTGCTACCTGCCCTGCATCAAATATAAAAAGGGCAGGTGTAGTGTTGCACAAATCCAATTTTCACATCTATAAAAAAAATATATATTTTGGTATTGTGAGGACAAAGCAGTGTGCTTATTATTGACATTCCTTTTAAGTTCCCGCTTCAGACACTTTACATCAAATCTGGTGCATTATACGGTAAATATGAAGTGATTCTGGACACAGTGAAATAAAGTTAGCCCCTATCAGGCGACAATCGTGGCACATTTAACAGTGGAAGAGGCAGATGTTTCCCTTAGGAGACAAATGGAGAGTAAATGTTTGACTTAACATGTTTCAGGTGGGCAGAAACAGTCTCCAGATAAATGTTTATGTTGCTCCGAACCCTCTGGATGTATGTAGTTTACATAATAGCAGTGACAATAAAGTTTATTTGCATAACACTGACAAAAAATTAGTGGTAAACCGTGCCTTGCATGAAACACAGAAGGATAACATATAACAGTAATGGGTGAATTTATACTTAAAATAGAGCAATGTCAAGGAAAAAATAGTGTAATTAAACAGCCAAGAACAAAAATGCACCTAAAAATACAAAGAGCATTTATGTTCACCATAGCAGCTTTATAAAGCAAATGTTGTGTTTTCAGTGGCCAAAAATCTATTCATGTAGTTTAAATACGTATTTTGACACTGCTCATACTCACTGTGAAGCTAAAAGCTGCCTTGATCCTGCTGACCTGAGTCTCTAATTACTACAATTGTGCCCTCACTCTTCTCTTTTAGCTGTAAACTGCTTGTATGTAGTTGTTTTAGTATTCGTTAATAATACATGTGTCTTACCTTGTTTATGTAGTTGGAGAGCAGTTTAGTGGAGAAGACTGAGACACTGGAGAGCATCCAGGGCCTGAGGATCAGCCTGGAGCAGCAGCTCAAAGAACTCACCACTGCAAAGGTCTGTGTCCAGCACAAACGTTTATCCACCAAACTCTGCCAGAAAATGCTGCTCTGTTTAACACAATATTATAATATCAAGCTTCACTGTTAACCATATCAACACTGTAATATAAACTCCTGCACCTCTATAGAAACAGCAGGAGAGAGAACTTAGAAATGTATTTTGTTTGATATTCGACACTCATAATGCCTTAAATCATAAAAAAGACAAAAAAAAACGACAGTTGAATTTCTTTGATTATTTATTTAGCAAAAATTGAAAAATCTTGAACTTAACATATGAAACATTTTTCAAATTGCCTACAGGTGCCCTCAAAACTGGAAAACAACGGGACTCTACATACTATGGCTATTTTGCTATTGACATTTGTTTTCATATGGTCTCGTCTCAGCTCTGTGTAAACACAACCTGCAGTTCAGCCCAGTTTAGATGTGAAGTCCATGAATTTTTGTCACATAGCTGCTGTTTGCAGCTGAGTCACCAATGACTTCTCAGTTACAGCGAGAAGGGCAGAATTTTTTGTGTTTTACAGACTCTCGTTAAAACAAATGCTTTATTTTTACTGATTTTTTTTTTTTTTTAAAACAAGACATCTAGACTAAAGAAATTGTGATAAAATATCCAGATTTTAAGCCTAGATTTCGTCAGTTTTTTCTGATGGAACCAGTAGTCACCCATAAGTTAATATTCTTTGTGTTTTTACAGTTTCTGGCTTTGATAAAGAGTGCCATTCAAAACTGATGACAGGTTCAGGGTTAAACTCTAGATATGTTACTCTTTTTGTCAGAATCAGCCTATACAGCATCTAATCTACCAAGCAGCTCATGTTTCAACAAAATCAAAATCTTAAGGCATCATGACAGCAGTTTAGTGAACGCTTTAGTCAAGTAAAAGTTGCAGTGTTTATTTGCTCTTATGTTCGAATCACACTAAATTGCTGTGGTAATAATAAACTCTTTCTCGTTCAGCAACCCCATTTTAAATTATTCAGCAAATGCGTCTCTATAAAGTATTTGTTTCCTTCTACTGTACTAGCTTAATGGCTCCATTTCGTCTTTCTGAATAAGTGTGTGTGTTTTTGCTGTAGAATGTACTAGAAAGTCAGGTTCTGGATGAGAGAGACAAGGCTCAGCGGCTGCAGACGGAGCTGGACGTCAGCGAGCAGGTTCAGAAGGACTTTGTCAAACTTTCTCAAACCCTTCAGGTGAGCAGAAAATGCCGATTTACATCTTAGATAAGTTATCTGCACCTGATAAACAGTGTTGTGGTTGAATGAAAGCACTCGCGTTGTTATCATTCCTGTTAAAGGGCAGACAAATATGTTTTTGTCAAATGTTGAATTTAGCTATTTTGAAATCAAGGGCTATTTGTTTAATTTAAATGGAGTGGGTTGTGCTATATGATGTGATGCTGTTAGTGACTGTTTTGATAAGCTGTGGAGTCCTGAAAGGTCACAGAGAGGAATATTTTGGCATTCCCTCACTCAGTACTGTTCCTTCTGATGTGTATGTACGTGCGTTAAAGAAAACACTACAGAAAAGAGAGCTGACGTGACGCTTCGTTGTGCATGTATGAAGTGTGGCTGACAAATAATGAGACTGGGCTTATCTAAATGCGCATGTGCAATAAATCTGCCAGTATTACCAGGCCCAGACGTTTTGAATTGAATGAAAATTATAAATGAAATTGAAATAAATTAAATTATGGCATAAACCTTTATTTTGTACCAACACACCACAGGAGTATAACAGCTTCAATGCAGCCCAAGCATCACTTCTTGCACACAACCGCTGCATGTCGTGACTTTAACTAATGTGTTGCAGCCCGAATAATGACTAACAAAGCCGGATAAATTACAGTGACAGCTGTCGTCTGCTGCCATAATCACAGCTGCAGTCAGTCCCAGCTGTGGTTGGTCAGAGGGCTTCTGAACTATCTGCTCTGGTTGTCTTTCTAAATACAATGGTGCAGACTTGTGCCTGACCGCCACAGCTGAGGGTGCAGTGACTCCAGTTGTCGCCACAGCAACACAATACATGATACTGTGTTGTGATACAGCTCAGTCTTTCTCTGTGGGTCAGAGGTAGGAGTGAACAAGCACGGCGACCTTTTGCAGGCTTCGTAGAGATCAGTTTTTTGCTGAAGGTGCAGCATTGGCCCTGAGGCTGGTGTTAAGAGGATCACCAAATGGAGCTTTAACAGATAAAGGCAGCCACCTCAGCTTTTAATCTGTAATTAATCTTTTTGAAACATAGCATTAGCAATTGGGTTGTTTCATCAAGAATATATATATTATAATTGACCACCTATCTACTTTAGGTATGTTTTTCTGTGCATTGAAATTCAATGCTATATTTAAATGCAATATGTCCGAAACTCTATTTATTAACTAGTTATTTCTGCAGTTATTTATCATACAGTTTATTTAGAATCTGTATATTTGCACAAGTAATTCAAATAATCTCTGATTGTGGGTGAGTTGAAATATATATTTCTTAAAATAACAGCAGCCATGAAACAGTCCATCTCTGAGCACACTTAAAAAAACATGATAATGCAGAAGTCAACTAATGATATTTTTTGAGCCATATGTAGCTGCATGTCACAATAATACAAAACATTACATACATTTAAATATGAAAAATAATGTTGTTTTCGTTGAACTTTTATAACTGATTGAGCAGGTGGGGGAGGTCATTGTTGTAACTGTTAAATCAGTGATGAAAGCCAACACAAAATGATTTTTCTTTCATTTTGTGACCAAGTATTTCATAAAAGTGTTTTTTGTGTTTTGTTCTCAAAAATTCTCAAAACATTATCACTAGTTGACTTCTGCATTATCATTTTTTAAAAACCTTTTTTTGTTAAATTTTTTTTTTTAAAGTTATTTTTTTGGTCTTTTTGCCTTTTTTATATCGGACAGTGAAGAGAGGGACAGGAAAGTAGGGGAGAAGAATGGGTTGCAGCAAAGGGCCATGAGCGGGATTTTATTATTTTTTTAAACATTTTTGCTCAAAGATAGGACTTTTTATGACTGTTTCACTTTCTTTTCCTATTTCACCCAGAACCAGACACTTTTTGATTTACTTGTCCAATATTACAGATTCTGAGTCAATGAAATGATGAGAAATGACAGTGAAAATTTCAAGCTTTTATCTTTTGCAGTTCCTGAGATACCTATGTTCAGATATTTATGTTTAAATAGTGTTAAATTTCAATGTGTAAAAAGGTGTTGAAAGGGCAATAAAAAAAATGTGTAAAAATCGCAAAGTATTTGATGTATCAAGCTAAAATACACAGTTATCTTAAATCTCTATACTTTATGATAAAAAAAATTCAAGTAACTCAGAGAATTTTAAGCAGAAGACCTCTGACGATTTGTCCAATAATGTTTCTACAGAGAAAACCCAGGAAGAGGAATTTTAAAGGAAATATTCTGAAAATATTACAGCCCTTTGTGAGTGATTCTCTCAAGAAAATGTTGTGAATTGATGGATTATCATTTGTCCGCGTCCTCAGGTACAACTGGAGCGAATACGACAGGCAGACTCCTTGGATCGAATCAAAATAATCCTCAATGACACCAACTTGACTGACATCAACCAGCTTCCAGAGACATGATACCTTCATGCGAAGACTGCCTTCAGTTTCATTCCCCTCTTTCTCTATCACTGGCCCAGTAACATTATTGATCCGATCCTTCCTCCTCCCCATAACCACCTTGGAAGAGTTTGGAGGGACACGGACAGACGTGGCATGAGGAGCTCATGGCCTTCTGTGTATATTAAAAGTCTTGGAACACACCATGGAGAGAATAATGAAGAAGAACACTACTAAAAACAAATGTAAATAACTAAATGTGTGACTGTGGACGGATGGAGTGGAGGTCCTTCTCCCTGTGGGCCTGTCTGTGTCTCGTTTCTACTGTAGATATGACCGTCTGTATTAGCTCAACCAAAAAAAAGGTTTGTCGTCTTCTAAAGCACTTTTCATCTGCAACTTCTCTTTCCAGGTTCAACAGAAAACAACTGAATGCACAGATTTTCTCCTTCTGTTCTTAAAGCGGTTGTTAATCACTTCCTTATTCCCAGTTGCTTGTTCTTTCCCTGTGTGTTTTTTTTTTTTCCCACCTTTTCTGGCTATTTTCCACCACGTTCTGGTCATTTAGCCCTCTGACAAAGATGCAATGAAGGATGGAAAATACTTGCAAATAATTTAACTGGGATAAAAAGAAAAAAAAAAAAAAAAGACAAAAAAGGAATTTAACACAACGCAAGCAATACCCTTCAATTTTTTTAAACATCCTCTGCTTCCCGTTCTGCTTTGTTGTTGCTCTTAATGTATGACAGAAACCTTTTTTGTTTTAAAGCTGCAGAAATACAGTGACAAAACATTAGTTGTGTTTGAGGTTGTGGGATTTATTTTTCAACTCTTGATTGTTGAGAAACCAGTTAAAAAACACTAGTTAACCCAGTTCATTTCAGGTAGAGAAGTGTTGAGGTGGAGGAGTCCATAGAAATTAATGGATTTTATTACATGTTATTGACTTTTGAGATCTTAAATCACAGCTTTTAAAGTACGGAGTAGCACAACCAAACTACCCCGTTAACTCTGTCTTATTGGACTGCGAAATTCACTAAAAGAGCTCAAAGATGGTTCATTCATCACTATGAGAAATTCTGTTGTCTGTGAAGCTACTAATTGATTTTAGTTAAACAACCTTAAAGTATCGGGATCAGTACTCTCTTTACAGATGTTTGTGTTTGATGTGGAAAAAAACGGAATAACTCAAAGATGTTGCAGCTGTGCATCAGGCGCTCCAAACTAAACTAAGTCACCTAAAAACTGTTGTCTGCTACTTCACCAAACCTGACAGTTCAGAACTGCTAATCAGATGGTTGAAGAGCATCCGAAACCTCCTCCCTCCACACCTTTCCGAAATCATGTTTGAGGTTTCTTTTCCAAACTGACAATCTCACACCTGCCTTGTGGCGAAGGTGAGAAAATGTGCTTGGTTTCAGTTTCTATAACTTTTCATGCTAACAACTGAGTGCAATGCTGTTTTCCGAGGAGGGGCTGTCTGAAAATTTGGGTCTGTATCTTCATATTTGTAAGAATCTCTGCAGGATCTAGCTTTTCACTATCTCAAACTTCAGAAATGGATTTGAAATGCTTCAGTGTGGTCCCAAATGAACCAGATCGTATGACACGTCACGATCACAATTAGAAGCAAAAGTGTTTACACCTTTTCTCCGCGCTCACCTTTTCTGACAGTCTCTCGTTGAAGACACTTGCAAGCGTTGCACAAAACTGACAGAAACTTGAGAATTCGAGGTTTTTCAAAAGAAACCAATTGCTTTTGTAGTTCTGCACCAACTAACAAGTTGCTGTGTAAAGTGGCCGATCTTCCTTTTGCGTTCAACACTTACAGCTGTGTTTCCATGTAATTTTACGCATATTTTGAATGATCACATTAGAAAAAAGGTTTTTTTTTTTTTTTTTTTTTAAACACAAAATCTTCCTTCATTTGCAAAAAGTTTTAACACTTTGTTGAGGTGATTTTTCCACTTCATTGAAGAGACTACTTTTTTGGAATAAGGCCTTATGTAGTACATATTTACCTCACATGACTGATGCCACTTCTTATGTTGTCTTTGTCTTTAGCTATCATGAAAGCTGACATGAAAGAACATTTTGCAACTGTCACAATTTACAACGGTTTAAAAAGACTTCGTTTTTGTCTCATAGATGGACACAGTTTTGTTTGTTTCTCACTTGCAAACAATTGCGTCTGTTTACAGCCATGTAGCCTTCTGTCAACACTACGCAGCTAATTTTATTCACTCCAAAGCAGCTAATGCAAAACATGCGTAATTTGCATTTTTATTTTCTGTGACATTCAAAATTTTGCTTCTTTTGCTCAAGAATTATGTGGAAACACGTCTTACGAATGTGTTTCAGGAGAATCGGTCAGAAAATGTGCTCCATTTCCCCTTTTTAGTCAACTGTCAGGTCTCCCTTCCCCTCCTGCTATCACTTTTACTTTTCACCTTCACTTCAAATTTAACATCATGAAACAACCATTAATGCTTCTGATCCCAGACACGAGCATAAAAAATACTGACAGCCATCAGAGACAATTAGGATGCTACAAAGGCCTCAGTATTCTTTAAACAGACTGGGTTGTGCAACATTTCATTGAAGACAAAATGACTGTCTGTTCTTTGCCTTTTCAAGAACTCTTTTGTCTTTTCTTTTTCTCTGTAGAACCCTACTTTGCAGCTTTTACTCTCCTTGCCAGTTTCTGTGGGAAATTTTCATTATTGGGGCTTCTGTTTAAAAAAAAAAAAACGTCATATGCAGCCACAGTAAACACTTTCCTAATGAGTTTATGGCCTCAGTGGCTAGTTTTAAGACATTACGAATCCAGCGTGATGCTTATTTTGCAAACTATGGTCCCATTCTAAGTAAAGGAGACAGTAAAGCAGGGTATGATTCGTTTGCGATTGGCTACATGGGCTTATGCACAGTGTCCTCAAGTTTTTAATCAGATCCACCCTTGCTTGCTTGGTCAGGTTTTGAAAAACCAAGCAGTCGACAGCCAAGACCAAACTTGAGACTTCATAACGGCCGTGTGCAAACCAATAAGTAGCGTCACGGTGACTGTGTCCGTTTTTTAACTCAGTCTGTGCATTCAACAAATGCTTCACTCAAAGCATACTGAGGCCTTTACTGATAATTAAAGTAAATAGTCCTTTTTAATATTCCATATTTAATCCAGGATGTTTCAATGGGATGCAGCTATACTGGAACTTTTGGTGCACCAATGTTAGGATGTATAAACAAGACAGGGCTGCCCATTTACTAATAATAAATAAATAAAAATAATCGTACATTGAGTGTGTGGCTTCAAGAATCTTAAGTATTTAGACAAACTGAATTTCTAATAAGAGTGAAAAATTAGTCAAAAAATGCCAAGCAGTAGTGAAAATGAGGCTGGAGAGGAAATTCATTCTTAACTTTCTAATGTGCAGATGGAGAAAATGCACAATTTTTGAGAAAATAAATCACAATTTTCTTTGTTTTTCACACTTTCAAGGACGCAAACTGTTTCCCAGGACTTATTGAGATTGTTCTGTGCTTGTTTGAAACGATTGGACACAAGGCTGCAGAGTTTTACGGAAACCCCATGGCTGATAAATGTGTGTACAGTAATTCCTCAGACGGAGGGAGGGGTTGAAAGAACACATATGTACATGAATACAGCAGCAGCATTGTTTGGTTTAAGGACCTGTTGATCACTGTTTTTGTTAGTTTTGACTTGCATGTGTCCCATGTCCTTCTGTTGCATATGTCGATACTGTAGATATCTGGAGTTGATATTTATGGCAGATTGATGTGATGTGTTATAAAGGCGATGTGGGTGCGTGAGCCATCTGTCCTTTTGAGTTGCACTGACAGGAAACTGAACTGGCGAACTCACAGCAGGAGTTTTACAGTGTGAATTCTAGACATTATTTTCTCTGAAAGCCTTATTGCATCGGCTTGGTGTGTTCTCATTTTATTTGTGACATTTACTGTCCCTCTAATTTAATGTTTTGTCTATTACAGTAATGAATTTTACTTGTGGCCCATATGGCATTAATGTGAGGTGATCCGCAGACAAATTGATTTTTATTGAGTAATTTCTGATCTAACGTTGCTGGGTCATTTGAAAATGTATGTTGAGTCCCAAAAAATAATTGGAGTAGACGTTTAAACGAGACGGATGTGTGACAGAAATACAGTTTGTTCTCAAAGCTCACACTGTGTACTGCTGTACCTGCTGCTTAGTTTTTAGTATAAATACAAATTCATGACGAATAAAGTGCACTCAAAGCCCAAGATGTGTTTGTGCAATCTAAATATGAGGTGTGATTATTTGTTTTGAAACAATAGTTATGATAAATTCCTGTTTCCCCTGACTGAGATGGGACACCACAATGAAGAGAAACAGTGCAAATGTGGACTGGACCTTTTACAGATTTAGTTTTTGCACTTTACTCGAAATGAACCATTAAAAACTGACACAAGTGCACAGTTTGAGCTTTCATAGGCAGCTTTTATCATTCCACTTTACCGTCCTCCATCAAACCAGTGTCATCAGATGTGTCCCACATAAGATCTGTTCAAGGGTTATTTAAGTTTGCTGCATCCAGTTTTAAAGTACACACTCCAGATCCAGTTGATCGAGTTTTTACCTTATAAGAATAATTATATAAATGTAGGGAAAATGCTATTTCATAACGTCTTGGATGCCTATGAATTTGTAGGCATTTATGCTATAAAAACGACCAAAATTCAGCGCTCAATATTGGCTGGTAGCACTCCAACTTCGATCGGTCAAATCCTGGAGTGTGCACCTGTAAATCTACTTGTTAGTATTTCAGATCTTCCAACCAAAAAAAAAAAAAAAGAGGAACAGGACTGTAATTTTACTCATACATGAAAGAGAGGCATGAGCAGCACGCTTGAATGATGAATACAATGACATTTAAACAATATTTGCTATAAAGTTCTGCCCACTGAATTTGTGTGTTGAGTTTTGGTTGTCTTGCACCGAGGAATATCTCTTTTTCTCTTTTCTCATCATGAAACCACCATCACACTGTAATACAATTTTAGAAAACCCTAGAGCTGTTACACATACCTGTGCATTTTGTTAACATGACTAAAATGAATCTGAAGTTCAGACATTGGTTATATATCCTCTTTTTGAAAGCTTGAGAACTGCTGGTTGTTGGTGTGATGAATCAGAAGAGGAAACAGTCGGTACTGACTGGCCTCTAAAGGAGTGCCTAGACTTAAAGACAGTCATGTCTGAACACAGTACAAGATTAACTGGTTGCCACATACTGTCACTGCAATTTAGGTGTTAGTCTGGCGTAATTTACAGCCTTGCTGGAGTGCCTGTGGCCTTACTCATTACAATAACACCTTAATAATAAACTGTCATCTGACTGTCTTAAAATGTAAGACAGTCAGATGTTCTTTATTGAGTAATTTGTCAAATAATTTTAGAAATTAATAACAATTATGATGTATTTATTCTTTATGCTATTTTCCGAATATTGTTTTCATAATGAATATGTTTTTTTTTTTTTTGTTTTTTTTAATGATGCATTTATTTACAACGGTGGCTTGCAACCTCACCAACTACAAATTTAGCCAGTTAGCTCCTATTAGCTAGAGGTTGGTTGGTCACTCTTTTAGCACACAATTTTTAACTTTTCATTCTTAATGTTAGGTGGCCTTCTCAAGACTTTTTCTATTACCTTTAGCTAATAATTGTAGTTAATAATATATACTTTTTGTTAACAATATCAACCATTAGCCATACTTCTAGTTAAAAATACCAACCGTAAGCCATATCGCTAGCCAACAATTTCAACTGTTTATCACATTTTACAAAAAAAATCTTCGTTAGTCCATACTGCTAGCTAAAAATTTCAACCATTAGCCATGCTGTTCGCTAACTATTTCAACTGTTAGCCAAACTATTGGCTGAAAAATTCCAACTGTTTATTCATGCTTATTCATACTTTACACACTTTTAGCTAACAATTTCAAGTTTTAATCCATACTGGTAGCTAACATTTTCACTTACTGACCATAGTTTTGGAAAATATGGTTCAACCATTTATTTATTTATTTGTAATTTTAGCTAGCCACTTCAATAGTGTGTCCATCATGTTTAGCTAACAAGTTAAAGTTAATTCATACTGTTAGTTAACGAAAGCAACCATTAGCAATACTGTAAGATAACAATTTAAATTGTTAGCCACACTTGTAGCTAAAGTAGCAAACTGTTTTTCCATACTGTTAGCCATCTATTTTGCTTTTTATTCAATTTAATTAAGAGTTTTAACAGTTTGCCACATTGCACACACACACACACACACACACATTTTCTCTTGCTCTTTTAACTGTTCATCCATTGTGTTTAACAATTACAACAGTTAAGCGATACTGTTAGCTAGCAAGCTAGCATCATCAACAATTAGCCATACTTTTAACTAACAATTTCAACTGTGAGCAACACTTTTCGCTAAAAAATATTCAATTGTTTATCCATGGTATTTGCAACCAGTTTAGAAGTGGTAATTTATATTGTTAACATACTTTTAGGTAGCTATTTCGTCCGTTTACTTACTTTTTCACAATCACTTATCTATTTTTTATTATGTACAAATTCCCTTTTGCTGTCTTCTCCTACTGTCTATTTATCACTTGTAGTTAACCTTTCAGCCCCAAGTTGTTCACATCCACCTAATTCTTTCACTAAATTCTAACTTTTGTCCCATAAGTGTAGAATGGCCAAACAAGCATTAAGGAAAAGTGACGATGTTTATATTTTATCCAGTGGAGAAATTTAAATCTTGTAATGAATTGTAAATTAATTGTAAAGTAGTAATTATATTTGTCTTTGATGTGTGTTGCGGTACTGTTGGTGGGAGGTGTCTGTGGTTAACCGGTGGGCCTGTGGGGGGCAGCAGCCGCACCTTGATCCATGGAGCCGCGGCACACAACTTCCCAAGAACAAGAAACATTTGGACGGCAGAGGGTGGAAAAAAAAAGCAGAGGAACTACTCCTGTTTACAACAACATAATGGAGCCCAAATGGTCTAATACCGTTTGCAAGCGTGTTTTACTGACTGGATTTACGCTATGTGTTGTATTAGGTGAGTGTTGAAGCCGGACTTGGGTTAAATTTGAATTTGGAAATGTTTGAATTTTGCCTCATTATTTTAGGTGGGATATCAGGTTAGCTAGCTAGCGACGTTACCTCGCATCTCTTGTACGAGAGTGACAACGTTACACCCCTAACCTCTGTTCTCGGTGTTGCTAAATAATACGCCTTTGTTCGCCCTCTTAGCTGGGGGCGACAACACATTGATAGCAACCTGCGTGGAGGATGTTAGCCGGAGTCTCCGTGCACACACATCGTCAGATCATTTATAGAGTTAAATTGTGTAAAATCTGAATGGGGACTGGTACAGAATGGTGGCTACCGCCCCTGGTAGTGTCGTCCTGTGGAAGGTGACGGTGGGACCAGCTGTGGAAGTAGGGAGGCTAACCAGCTGCTTCGCGTGAATATTTAGCCGAAATAAGGGTCGTTGGGTGTGTTGGATGTGCACCGATTTGAAGAACATCGTCTATTAATACAGAAATTATTTCCAAGTGGGTGCTATCATACACGTAGCCGGAGCTATAAACAAAGTCACATTAAAGTCACAGGTTTTTGAATCACTGTTTTGTTTGGCGTGTGTCTTTACGTGTCGCCCTGGTGGTAGTGCTTTAGTAAGCTAACTAGCAGACTAGGTTAACGTCACCTACAATATTTTAAAGCGCTATATGTTTTACTTTTAGTTGCGTTGACAAACAGTTGCTGCATTTTATTAACGCACAGTGCCAACGCATCAGCTCTGTAGGTAATTGGTCGTCCTGACTAGCTTAGCATCCCCAAACTTAGGATAACATCTCATTTCCTCGTCGGCCAACCTCTTCCTGACCCAGATAGCGAAGTTAACATTGCATATAACAATTCACTTAGTGACAGAAGTAGCATCAAAACCGCAGGCCTGTGATTTTGTTTAGAATTTAGATTTAAATACACATATTTACCTCAATATTTGACAGTGAACACAATAATGGCTTCTTCTTTTTACTAGTAGGTGTTACTGCTAAACAGCACCAAACTCAAACACGAACATGTTTTTTTATTTTTTTTTACATATATAGTTGTGTTTTGCTTCTGTAGACAAGGAACAAACTGGCATTTTAGGAAGGATGTGCATGGATTTTTCATTATCTAATGCGCTCAATCCACCAGTTTGATAATTGATTTCTTATTTGATTCTAGATGGCTTCAAGCAAAAAAGGCTTTATTTGGTAATTGGATCTCGAGGTCAGCAACACACACAGTTTCAGAAACTGCACAGTTTTGCCTTTGAAAGCAATGCACAGCAATATCCAGAAGTTTGGAGACATATTCTACTGCTGTGTTCTGCTTTGAATCTCAGACTAATATCATCTGACAGGGAAACTTCCTTCTG